TCAAAAGTTATACAAAAATGGAAACTAAAATGTGAAATAACATTTGGTGTAAACTCCATGAGGTAAAGCTAGCATGTCACACGTCTTCCACAGTTATACATATGTGAGAGCAGATTGTGTGGTCATTCCATAGGAAAGATGTCACCAATGTCTCCCACCTGACACCCAAGACCCTCAGAATGAGCTGTGCATCTGTACAACACCTTCAGCATAACTTCGACGTTACAGGTACATCATAATGGCAAACTCTTATGAAACCCAACATTGTAACTTGCACAGTAACCTGACATGTGCTTCCCTACAGGTCACCAGTGTAGGAGGTAGAGTGGTGGATCGATCCCAGACACCTCTCACATGCTGAAGTGTCCTTGGGCTAGGTGTGTGAATTTTAAAAAGCAATTAGGCTTAGATAAAAGGGTAGAATTAATTTAAGTGGGTGAATGAGACCTGTAGAAACCACTTTGAGTGCTCAACTGAGTAGAAAGGCTGGTTATCTGAACCAGTCCATTTACTGTGACAGGCTGCCTGTTTCCTCGCACCCATTTACATCTACTACCACTTACAACCACCTCGACCATTTTCTCTCTAGACCAGAAATGGTTGAGGAATCATGGTAATGTGAAGCGCACATCGTAGGGCACATATAAGCAGAACTGATTTTTCTGTCTGTTCAGACAGCAGTACTTTTCCTGAATGCTTTTTGCTACTGTGATACACCAAATACCCCCATAAAGCTCGTCTTCTCTTCTTTTCAAAACCATTTGAATTTTTGTCTCTAGCACAAACAGTAAGGGAGTTATCGCCATTCAAAGAGCGCTTGTAAAATGGGCCCTCCGGTCAGTTCGATGGTGAAAAAGACTCAAGTCATCTCATTTTTTCCAGGATTTGTAAACCATTAAAAGAGGCATGAAATCTTCAGGACTGAAAAGCAGATTTAAGTTCTGTTGCAAATGATCATGAGATCAATGAAGTGCTTCCCTTTAAAGCTTAGTAAAGTTAAACTTTAGGCACTCTTTGTGCAAAAAGATGAGCAGAAAATTTCAAAGAAAGCACCATGTGATTGTATAATTTTGCATGGCCTCATTAAATATACTAAAGCAAGCTCATTATGAGGGTGTGAAGCCGGGATTTTTATTATATTTGGCTGATTTTATACAGTCAAATACTTTCCAGTGATAACTGAACAATATTTCTGCAGGAAATGCCAAACCTCATCACCGACCTGTGCTGAGTGAGCGGGCCGAGATGTTATCCTCCACAGTAAGGCACTTCCTGGTATCACAGTCACAGTCTCTTGAACTTCTGGCATCTCATCTGCCTCCTCTGCTTCACAGCTACGCTCCTACACACAGAGAAACAGACACACAGCTAGTTAAACAACTCCGTCTAACGAGTTTGGGTTTACATTACAAACAGTTCATGTGCAAACGGGTGATTAACAGAACTACGGTCGCCACAAATTCAACACGTCTCTCAAGCAACGATGCATGTCATTGCAAGACATCATGGATTAGTGCTGGCAATGATCTAATCAACACTACACTCTCAACATAACTAGACAACAGCAGCAGCACACTACAGATATCAATACACTTTCACCTTACCTTCTACTAAAGCCACTGCATGTTATTGTGAAAGGAAAAGATGCAGTTTAAGAGAAGAATTTCAGAGTTGTGAGGAAAAAGTCACACATCAAACATGTTAAAGAGAAATGTGAGAGCAAACTCAGAGGGATTTCATCTCAGCTTTCAGTAAAAGCAGAAACGATCCTCACCTGTCTCAGCTTCTTTGACTCGCCCCCGCTCTTCTTCTCCGACTTCTTGTACGCTTCATAAACCTTGGGGTCCACGCTGTACATGCACTCTGTCCATTTCCCATACATAACTCGCCGCTTCTTCTTACTGTTTCAACAACAAACTCCATTTAGAGAAAACCAACACAACTAAAATTCACAGACAGTGATGACGTGCTTAGGTTCTTACCTTTTATCTTGGATATGACCTTCTACTTTGTGCAGTTCCTTTCCAAACATCCCACAGGGTTTGAAGTTTAGGACACACTTATCACCCGTCCTGACGAATTAAAGGCAAAATTATTCTTTAATAAATATCGGTGATTCAAAAAGCTGTAAGTTTTCAATACAAGTTTCCATTACCTGTGGTTGACTATCTCTACAGTTCCATACTGTTCAATCCAGAGTTTTCCCAGGATGATGTTATGCACACAGCACATTGGATTCATCCACGTGTAAGCTTCTTTATGTCTGTCACAAAATCACAACATCTTAAAGGACCAGTTCGACATTTTCTAAATAATAATAAAAACTTCAGCACTCACAATTACATATATAATGTATTTAATATAACACAGCAGTGAGAGAAAAAAAGATGCAAATCAGCCCGTGGCTTTCCCCTGCTGTGCTATATTAAATACATGAAATACAAAATACAAGTTCGAGAGTTAAGCATGCTGTGGGTTTTTTTCTAAAATGATATATTAAGTTAGCGTTTTACTCAGCAACCCAAAAGAAGTGGAAAATAACCAATAACGCTTATTTTTCAGCAGGGAATATATTAATAAAGCCCTCATTTTATCTGTCAAACACTCAGCTTATGACATTTCATTGAGCTAATAACTCTGCTGAATACATGCTTAAGGAAGACAGATTTTTATATCAATGGTTCATCATTTCACATCTAAATATAATTTAAAAGTCTCAAAATACAACTGTACGTAATTAAATACACTTACTGCTCATCCATAACAATAACTCTGAAGATTTTGTTAACCCATTAGATGCCAAATGAATCTTAATCAACTGAAACCTCAGTTTCATACGATCGCCACCTTCTTTGTAAATCCCCTTTTCGTCAGTGTACAAAAGTTCAACTACATATTTTATCCCTGAGATAAGTCAACATAAAAAAAAGAAACGCAAGTTTAACAATATGTCTCAGTTTCTGTACATGAAAAAAGAAATCCCGATGCAATAAATTAAAGAAAAATTACATGAAAAGTTCTGGCCTGTCATTACCCAGACTGTCCTGCAATTCTAGTTTTTATTAATTCCCTGTGGACCCACTCTAAAAAAAGGGGGAAATTTCTATATTAGTTCATTTTAAGGACAGGAACTTTTCTGTAATTTAATGGTTTATCTATTACTTAATTATGCTGTTGTAGTACAAATAACCACAAGGAAGGTCCTTGTCAGTACAAAAGGTGTAAAACGCAAAATATAAAGAACCTATGATCTGAAAACCTCACAGAGAAAGCATCTTCAACATCACAAACATCCAATAATTAACTGGATGCTTTTATTTTTTTATTGGACTGAAGTTAGGGGAAAATTGCTCAGTGTGTCAAACGTCAACAGAGTGAGTTTACAGCACTCATGTTCAATGTGATAATACTGTGTGTAGATAAATTCCATGTATCAGCACATCTAAAACGCTCTAGTTAACATAATTTCTTGCTTGTTCAGTCCATAAGTGAAATCCGGATCCTTTGAGGTTTTATTTATAGTTTTAAAGAGTTAATTAGGACCAAGTCATGAGGAATTTTGAGAGCTTTGAGCAGACCCAGATTAGTCGTTTAACCCTTTCCCATGACAACGCTAATCTAACCAGCTGCTGCTTGCGGCTTCTTCAACATGAATGAACATGAGGTCATCCAAAGTTCAACATGTTATGAAAGTTTAATAATGCAGCTAAAAGCCTAGCACCAGCAGAAAAGTGGGTGTGCAGAACACTAGATCAATAACTGCAGGGAAATCTCACTTTAGTAACTCCAGCGTCATGGTGCCTTTAGGTTCAGCCTCCACACTTTTGCCCCAGAACTTGAGCTTTGGGTAGATAGAGCCATGAAACTCAAATTCTTTCTTCAGCGACTCGGCGTGGAAGGCACTGATGGGAGGGTGGTGGCTCACCTGCTCCGAGATCAATCTGTAGCCTTCGTCCTCCCTTAAAAAAGATGATTTGAAATAACTGGATGACCTGAAGTATCATCATAAAGGCATAATGAAGCTTCAACCCATCCTCTCCAATACCTTGTGAGTTCATAGGTCTCCCCCAGTAAAGGATTGAAAGGCTTTCCAGTCCTCTCCCATTGAGATGCTACAGCCGAAACAGCAAATGCAGCAACAACCTGTCACAGAGATGTAACGTGAATCAGAGCCGGGCTGCAGCCACTGACAGCAAGTGAAAAGTCATTTTTAGAAAACAATCCCTCATTCCTGCTTTTCTAGTGTTTATTTTGGGTTTATTTTTGGTTCATACACTTAAAAAAAAGAAAGAAAAAGAGCTTTAAACAGTTCATTATTTTCCTTAGCAATGTTCAGAGGAAATGTATTTCTGGGAGAAATTTAAATACACTGACAGTATTTTTAAAACATCACAACATCACGTGTGTGTGCTGCCTGTACCTGCATGCGGTCTATGGAGTCTGATAAACTGCAGGCTTTGTGGATGAGGTGAGTGTGCTCCATGTACTCGGAGATTCTCTGGAGAAAGCTGAGCGGCTCGTTAAACACGACCGGCATTGCTATTTTGGACAGCTCCTGTGGCAGCACAACAAAAACAGTCAATCACTCTCATTCAGAAAAATAACTCAAAGGCTGACAGAAATTACCTCACTTCAAACAACTTATGCAACACATTACTTAACTTACAACAAACATTCACCGGTTTTAAAAAGCAGGAGTAACAATAGCACAACATTCACATTTACAGTTCAGATGTTCATTTAATTATTTTGGTTATTTTGAAATGACTTACAGAAGCAAATGTAAAGACGAGTTCAGTCAAGACTGATTTTGTAACAGAGAGATTAAGTAAGCAAAAGCACTCAGTTATTCAAAGTTGACCTGTTATGCTTTCACCTTGCTGTCAGCAAATATGGAAATTTCCCTAATATGGTCATCGCAGCTCGAGTGTGACCACAGAAGCTCTGCCCACATGGTTACAAGGAGCAGCCAATCAGAAGACAGTTGGATTAGAGGGATGGGATAAGACAAATATGGATTATTTCTAACCTAACTGTGCAAAGCAGCTCTACTAGACTGCAAGAATAAAAATGTGAAAGTGAAAATAAGCAGAACAGGAAAATATAATCACTCCAATCTTAAATCTGATCAACCCTATCTCTAATAATCAGCTATGTACCGCAGGCCCTCAAGCTGGCAGAGGTTAAACCTTTACTTAAAAAGCCATCTCTAGACCCAGCTGCCTTAGCTAATTATAGGCCAATTTCTAACCTTCCTTTCATATCAAAAATTCTTGAAAGGGTAGTTGTCAAACAGCTAACAGATTATTTGCAGAGGACTGGCTATGTACAATTTTTAGACTGTAGCTTTCTTTTCTCACAGTTTCATTTGGAGATTGTGAAAACCAGAGATGACATAATAGGGACACAGCTAGAAACTAGTAGAAACCTATAGGCTAAATCAGATATCTCACCCCTGCCCCTAATGACAGCTGAACCAGGATTTATATGAGCACATTGTGTTGCTGCACCGATGCATGCACACAGCTTAAGTTCACAATAGTGATGGGACATATTTCCACTTGATAGTGCAGTCGAGTACTTTTTCTTTTCTTTCTGTAGTCATTAGTAATTATAACTACAGGTACTGACACTCTGGACAGACCATTAATGAAGCTATAATATGACGCAACTTTGTGTATAAGTATTTCATGTCACAGTGACCACAGAAATGAAAATCATAGATTCAAAATCAGCACCCAGCAATATTACTGGAGACAGACATGAGTTTGGTAGGACTCACCATGCCGATGCATTTCTTCAGAATATTCCAAACACTGAAGTTATTTCTGGAGATCATTTCAGCTGGCAGCTTTTTCCTGGATCGAATAAGAAAAACGATATTAAGCAACAAAAACTGTTTTAATAGATATCAAGGCCATTATCAATTCTGCTTGGGGCTCATATTTCTCATTAGCTCTCTTATTGCTCTCTTTTGCTTAGATCTTTGATAAAAAGTTGTGCTAGCATGCTGACATTACCTCTTATTCCAAAATATATGCAGGGTGGACAGCTCAGTTCAATTTTATTTATATAGCACCAAATCACAACAACAGTCGCCTCAAGGCGCTTTACTTAACTTTGGCTCTTGGCGAAGGCGGTCGCACTTTTCTGCTCTCCCTTCCCTTATCTTCCCTGCTTAGCGTCTTGTGTCCTTGGCTAGTCTCATCTATTTTCTTACTCTTTCCCTGGAACACTTTCTCACAGTCTGTTCTCTAAAACCTAAAAGAGGAATTATGGATTTGATCAACTGGTCCCTGAACACAACTGACATCCTCTTCTCAACGAGAAGCCTGGGCTCGGGTGAGCCTGAGTGTCCTGGAGTGTCCCTGCCGGATACACGATGGACGGGTGGCATAAGTGGAGGATGGCAAGACTGTCGATCGAAGACATCGAAGACATCTACCTGTTCGGAACTATGATAACAGGGTTCTTGCTGATTGCTGATCGGAGCTGGCTTGGCCCTAGCTTATCGAAGATTAAAGAAAGCGGAATTGGCTGTTCAAAACCCCACAAGGCTGCCCGCTGTGTTGAAACGATTGGACGAGTCGTGAGTTCTCAAAATGGGCTCATTGAACGCAGCACGGATAAGATCTTGGAGAAGTTTGAGGCTGCCGTGAACACTCAGAATAAGACCGCTGAGCGAAAATTGGATAACATATTGGAGAAGGTCATGGCAGTCTTGAGTTCTCAGAATCTGCTCTTTGAGCGCAAGACTGATAACATCATGGAGCGCAAGATGGATAACATCGTGGAGAAGCTCACGGCTCTTCAACGGGAGATTGAGAGACCAGTGTTGGACTGCTAGAACAGCTTTGAAATTCACATGAGTTGTTCGCACTAAAGTAAAAACCACCATCATTTCATGCGGCTACCACTTCGGCGCCAGCTGTGGTCTCAAGGCTGGAGCTGAACAAAAACACCCAGATAGTTGACTGTGCATAGATTGTTTCTTCCTATCCTACGTAAGGCCACCTGGGTTGGCTGGAAGACTTTACTTAGCCTGGCAGGGCGAAGGACACTGTCTCAGCTGAAGTCTGGACACACACACACACACACACTTTGAATGAAATGGATGAACCAGAATTGGTTTGTAAAAATGCTGCAACTTCAGTGATGTGGCACTGGTTTAGCTTTCGTCCGTCAGATACACAACAAAGCACTATTTTTGGTAGCGCATGCTAGCGGGCCGTCGTTATTACCGTGTTCTTTGGAAAATACGGCACACATAAAATCAATCCTTTGATTTTTCTGAAAATCAACAGTGCCCCTTATAATCCCGTGTGCCTTATGTATGAATTCTGGTTGTGTTTACTGACCTCGAAACGATTTTATGTCGTACACGGTGCTGGAAAATGTTTTAGTACGACTTTGCCAAGCTACGAACCCGCACAGCTTGATGGGCATTACGGCTATCGTAGGGAGGAGCCTCGTGGAGTGATACGCACTGTGCTTCAACATAATATTACCGTATTGTGTGTGTGTATAACCTCTTTCTAAATTTTGTGGATATTATACATGGTTACGCTGAGGATATGTCGGCCAATTTCCACTGGAAATGCCTTTTGGTTAAACTGTCAGCAAGGAATTTGCATTTGCACGGTAAAATTTTTATATAACTTTAATGCAAAAAAACAGCTGCTTGTTTAAGTGAAAATACGTTGATTTTTTTTAGCACTAATAAAGTTGTGGAGTTGTAAAGTACTTTGTCTAGTGTCAATTATATCGTCAGTTATATTGTTATCGCAAATTTTCAAATGTATATCGTGATAAATATTTTTGGTCATATCGCCCTGCTCTACATGCAGGTATACACTCATCCCCCCTCCCCTTCCAAACGCCTTCAATGCTTATTCCCTCCCGATGCAGACGGTGGATCAAAGGGGACCAGTGCATATGCTGCAGGCCCAGATGCGCTGTCTACACGGGCTGTCTCTCACCTTTTACCCATCCCTGTTGCTTGTCATATGTTTCTATGGTGTATTGACAGTCATGTGCTTTTTGTGCCGGGGTGTTTTTTTTCTGCTCTCAAACTGTTCTCCCATTAGGAGCTCAGTCGGAGTTTTTTTCTCCTCGTCTCACCTCGTGTTATGTATTTTCGTTGTTTTTTTCCTATCAGCCTACCTTTCTGACATGTCTCCCAATGTGATGTCTGTGTAAAGATTAGTCAGAGGGTTCCTTTGTAAGTGCGCATGCACCATTAGCGTGCTGCCTGCTGTAACCTATAATTTCCTTCGGGATTAATTCTATTCTGATTCTGATTTATATTGTACATTATATCCTATAATAATAGATACAGAGAAAAACCCAACAATCATATGACCCCCCTATGAGCAAGCACTTTGGCGACAGTGGGAAGGAAAAACTCCCTTTTAACAGGAAGAAACCTCCAGCAGAACCAGGCTCAGGGAGGGGCGGGGCCATCTGCTGCGACCGGTTGGGGTGAGAGAAGGAAGACAGGATAAAGACATGTGGAAGAGAGATTGTCAGAAAGACAATCATACCAACAGATAATTTCTAATCACTAATTACCAAAACCTAACATTCAAGTCTTTGGGAGGAAGCTTTAATATAAGATGGGAGCATGCTAACTCCACATGACCATCCACCTCTGGAACATCTACTGCAGAGGTGTCCAGAGACCTTCTGGCAGAGGACAGCGATGGCAGAGTTGGTAAAGCAGACAAAACCAATTGCAGCCACTGGGGTTGATGTGATCTTCTCTAAACTATTTTAATCTAATCTGTCACACTCAAATAAAGCACCTCTGGCAACATTATTCACACTCGGTCAGCTGATACAGAGGATGCCCAATCTTCTGCATGATGCAAAATGCCACAAATTTCAGTTAATTTAAAATATGCTTAATTTTTTGAAGAATGTAATTCACAGTTTTAAATTACTCTTAAATACAGACATAATTTATTTTATCGTCTGAGGTTATAACTGTCCTCCAAATTCTTTTCTCCAGTTTGAATATCTATTAGTAAAATTAGTTGTCAGTACAATGCTTTTTATGTTAATATAACATTAGTGGACATTGGTACTGACATGCATTACATGGAATATGTAATACACAACTGGCAGGTCATATATGAGTATTGGTTTAATTCAGAGATGCAACACTATTCTTTCAAATAATATCCCCTCGTTTTCTGATTTAATGAGTGTTTTAATACAAAGTAGCTCCCAAATCGTGCACCCAAACATTAATATTGTAAATACACAAAAAAAATAGTGAATGACATTTAAATTTACTATATTAGTACATATCAATAGCCCTAACTAATAGTGAGGGGAAGAGAATTTGGGAAGAAGTGAAACTGATCACTTTTACCACCTAAAGAAAAAGAAAACAGGCAAATTAAACCACCGATGTCGTGGCTTCAGCTGGACTCAGGATGTCAACAGCCTTCAGCTCGAGTGTGTCATTAATAGAGAACAACTAATGCTAACATGGTGGCAAGCAATTTAAAGAGGCAAGAGGAAACCAAGCATCCATTCAGCGAGAGACTTTGCCTACTGTGAAAGAGCACAGTATCTGAACAGGCAGCAATAACATTTATTTGACTGTGTAAAAAGCGTCTGATAAGGAGGTGGATGCACGTTATAGTTCACCTCGTTATAGTCTGTGAATACACGCAAACCTTGGAATCTTGGTTTTCTCTTTTTTCCTTTTGAAAATTACTAAATGTGTATATATTCAAGGATTCCAAGGTGTTCAATGTCATTCTAACACATGTATTCACATGAGGTGAAACAAAATTGTGCACCTAGGTTCTGTGTAAAAGCCAAGAGAACACAAAAGAGCAATACAGGAAAAAGGGAAAAGAAAAAGTATATACAGTGTCAGTACAAATAAGACCATTTCCTAAAAATAATCAAATTGTGTGCAGTGGAAAGACAAGTGGCTTCACATGTCTGTTTCCTCTGGCTGGGAGCAGCAGAGACTACAGAGCACCACCAGAGTTCAACCGTCTTGCAGCCTGAAGAAGAAGCTGTTCCTCAGTCTGGTGGTTCTGCAATTGATGCTCTGCAACATCCAGCCTGAGGGGAGTGGGACAAACAGTCTGTTTCCTGGGTAAGTAGGGTCTTTCAAGACAGAGAGGCCCTTTTGCTGCTAGTGTAGATGTTTGTGGTGACGGTGGTCTGGGGGATGCTGCCAACAATGCTCTGTGGAGCTTTCACCACCCTCTGCAGAGCCTTCCTCTCTACCACAAAGCATGACATCCCACAGTGATGCAGGAGCACGGGACACTCTTCACCACACATCTCTAAGTTCAGAACTCATGATAGATCATCTGTCTCCATCTTACTCTATCTCTAGAACCCTCCTCTCACACACCAACCCTTTCACTCTTGCTGCTATCCTTCTGTCATAAATCACCCCAACACTTGTCTCCTCTCCTAACTACCTACAAACTCCTTTTCACCTCTCTTATGCACTGCCCATTGCTTTAAATGGTTGACCCCAGGTACTTGTGCACCTTCACTCTGTTTGCTCCTTGCAGCCTCACTAAATTTCACTACTCTTTTCTCTAAAGCATACCTCCACCACTCCAGGTTCTTTTCCACCTGCTCCCACCCTCACTACAGATCACAATATCATCTGCAAACATCATAGCATCAGGGAGACTCCTTTATCAATCTCTCCATCACTCCTGCTTTAACCTTTCAGAGGATCGAGGTGATCACTCAGAACAGCTCTGCGTCAATGAAGTGATTATGTTTTTCCGTAATTATTCCCCGCGTGTGCACGGCCCCTCACCTGCGCTCCCACACTCCATTCTCCTGTGTGGCATCTTTAAAGCTGACCTCGCAGGAATCATCTGACTCCAACCCTGGGGATGATGAGCAAGAGCGGGAGTAGGAGGAGAAAACAAAGTAAGTATACAGGAAATAACTATATATAATTAACTAATTTGGGCCTTCGTCGACATGTCTCACCTGTCTCAGCGTCGAAAAACTCCTCCTCGCTGTTCATACTGAGCAGACAAAGTAGCTGCAGGTTACTCAGAAGTCATGTTTCCACCGTTGGCCTGTCCCTGGAGTCCAGCCTCCCTCCGAGCATCACAGACAGCAGCACCCACCACCTACAACGACACCGGCAGCGTCAACACCAAGCGCATGAGTAATGTAATCAAAACAAAAACAGCTTCCTCTCTGGCTGTCAGTCGCCGTGCTCCTCTAAAAAAGCCATTAGTTAGCTTTAAGACTAGCTAACGAGCCCTTAGCATCGCTGCTGCAGATGGTGTAAATGTCCGCTGGGCAAAAAACGATGTAACAACATCAACACAGTCAACAACAAACCACAGCCGACACTGGCACGGACATTTAAACACAGCTCAGTCACATATACCTGTGAGTTCAGGTAAAATTAATGCTCCGGTAAAATAAACAACCGAGCACTGTGGTGCCTCTGGAAGTAGGCGGAAGTGGGCAGCAAGGACACCACGATTGGCAGGTTCGTCAGCCAATCAGAGCGCAGCATGCAGAGGTCCAGAAAATAAAGGGCAAAGAGCAAACGTGGGGTCCAAAGGCTATTTTTGCACATAACCAATAATGTGACATTAAAAAAGGCAACACTGGGCTCAGGCTGGATGGACCAGACTCTTTAAATATTAATATTAATATGTGTTAAGTGATTATTATAAGTTTATTATTTTATTTTATTTTATTTTATTTATACCAGTAACACAGGCGCACATAGAAGCTAAGGGGTTTGTAATCGCGAGTTTAAAATGACCAAGACTTACTAAATATTTAAATAAATCTGCAGTTGTTTATAAGCATGCAAATTATTAGGCTGCATTATTAAACTGTACCTTAATTTGTACATTTTGTACGATCTTTAGCTTTTAATACAGGTGCAAATTCACCCCTGACATGGAGATAAATAATGGATTGATGAGTTTGTGGTAACATCCTGAGGCAAGCTTAGTTCATGTACATTTTGCGTGGTTGGAATGATGGATGGGTGGTTTATTATAGTGTAACATTGAAGTGCAGGTAAAAAAAATATATCGAAAGATGAAATATCAACGGGTTGTTTAAAAATTCTAGAGGTTTCTTTTGTTTTTATTTGTTTTTAACATTGTGGAATTTTCTTTTAGGTTTTCTTTTAATTTTCTTTTAAGCTTCCTTGCCTGAAAAAGGAAAATCAGTGTTATTTTGTGCTACAAACTAAGTGCTAGTTTTCATTTTTCAATTGCTGAAATATTACATTTTATCCAATAATTAGACTATAAATCTATATTAATTCAACCAAATCATTAAGGAATATGGTTTCATTGTGTCAGCCCTGTGATATAAAGCCTACATTTCCACATGCCACTGAATTTCGTATAAAGCACCCACTAAGATATTTAATTGATTCATGTTGAGATGATAAACAGTGAGGCAGTACGGAAGCCCATCAATAAATGGCAAAGAGTTCATTCTCTTTAATAAGCCTTTAAGTGCACATAAATGTTAAATCATTATTACAATAAATTGTTGTAAATGCATTGTGGTGCAGATGCACTGTAGCGTTTGTGCAGAAGGTAAGATCAGTTTGTCTGTGTACCTTCTCAGCCATCCAGTTCATTGTAGTCTAAGGAGCTTGGACTGAATTCTTGAGGAAATTTCACCTCTCATCCAAGAGGGTTCTCCATGTTAAGTCATTATTATAAAAATTGTTGTAAATGGATTGCAGTGCACCAAGAAGCCTCTTGAATGCTTGGATAAGAAGTGAAACATCTAAAAGTAATTTAAAGAAGTCCAGTTGCATTCTTCACAAGCTCCTTAGAAGTTAAGATCAGCTCTTTCTGAACACTGAAGATTAAAAAAGAAAAATGTTATTTTTCACAACCTGACAACCCAGATGTTCTTATAATGGTTCATAAAGCACTAGTAAATGATTCATAACCCATTAACGCTATCACTGAAAAATGTGGCAGAAAAAGAGCCGCTTATGTAGTCAGCTGAAAAGCAGGTGGTTTTGACACTTGACTCAATGGAAGCATTATCAACATTATCTTAAGAGCCATTTCTTTTTTTTGTGCCTGTTCTGTGATGGGTGTCTTCATGGACATCACCACCCTGTGCATCTCCACTCATCCACTCTTGTATCCAGAGAGCAAAGGTGTGACAGAGGTGTGGAAGGACGATGGGGGAGGAACCCGACTGTTAATAGTATAATAGCTGCCCGATGAAGATTTAGGTTGTTGTTAGCTGGAAGAGGAAACATCTCATGTCCGTTACAAACCACAAAGACCTGCCTGTGGTCCTTTCAAACACAGCTCCATTATCCACAAGGTGGCAGCTTTACACAAACATCCCTCTTGCTTTATTCATTCTGCTAATTTTTAATTTTATTTTTGCAGACACTGGTCAATATTTCAAAAATAAATTTCAGTTTAAAACTAAATACGTATTAAATTAGAGCAACACTACACAGAGGGGAATTGTGCAAACACCCTTTTAAAGGGGAGACCTGTAATGTTTGAACTTATTTTCTGTAATATATACAATGGAAGATGAAATGCTAAGCAAGGTTTAAAATAATGAGGTACAAGCAATCCTTGTGAGCCACAAAACTCAGGCTTCATCTGAGCTAAATGCTCCATTTCAGGCATTTTTTTCTACTCCTTGCTCTGTTTTCTTTTTATTTATTTTATTTATTTTATTACAGCAGCACCACCTACTGTTCTAACCCTGTGTATGGCATGCAAGGTGCAGCCAATCAGAAGAAAGCTGGCTGAAAAGCAGATGAGCTGAACTGAATTGATGCGAATAGAGCATCAGTGAGGAGCTGCAAAAAGACCTGGTATATATAAAAAGATTATTATGAGCTAAAACATGCAAATGTAGTCTGTTAGAGACGGATAAAAAATGTAACTGGGAATTAAGATAATTTATTCATAGTAGTAGTCGGTTAGTTGGGTTAATTGCTTGTCAGATTTCCAGAAAGAGAAAGTGGAAAAAACTGCTTAAGAATCAAAGAGAGACCGGAAAACCGTCAAAATAAAAGCCTCCAAACTGCCTCTCTACATCAGGCGTATGGGATGATAACAGTATGATAGCAATATGAAAACACGAGGTAACAAACACTTAAAATTGTATCTTTTGTATGGAAATTTACAAAATAAACTTAATCATTTATAATCCTAGGCCTACACAACATTTTTAATATCGGATTTGTTTTCAAATTCATGCTGGTTTGTAGCCACAGTTGAATGTTCTGGGAGAGTGTGTGTAGAATAAACATAATATGTACTCTGACCAAGATAAATGGAGAAAAAAAAGAAAAAGCAGAGAAAACGACCGGAAGTCCGTTCTAAGCTGCGGTAACGTGACACTGTGACTTCTTCTGTGAGTGCGCTTTGGCAAAGTTTCAGTGCTGAGGATGCAGAGCAGCAAGTCGGGTGTTCAGAGTCTGTGAGCTGTGAATTTTGATATTTTAACACTAGTTTAAAACTGTAATGATCATCTTAGATTTTCTGTTTAAAAGCTAAAGAGAAAATGACGAACAAAGACGGCGATAAGAGCCTGAAGACTGCACTCCGCAGCCAGAAACAAGCCAGGGCGCACCAAGAGAAGAAGGATCCATCCTCCAATGATGGCTCCTATTCAAAGGAGGCACAATTCACGGGTCAGTGCGACCCTGTGAAGGAGGTAAAAACTGCGGGACCGCAGGAAAAGAGAGCAGGGAAAGTGTCATCAGGTGCCAGCTCCGAGTGCCAGAGGAGCCCCGGCGCACAGAGGAAACTCTCCGACGCCAGCAACGCTTCGGAGGATTTGAGCAAAGACTCCGGCTGCCTGTCGGGGAAACTGTCCTCCTCGGACAGCAGCTCGGAAATCTCTGACTGCCCGTCGGACGGTAACAAGCACGACTCTGACTTAAGCTGGATAGACGGCAAAGCTTACGTGACCCCGGATAGCGAGGGCGCAGGCGACGGCAAACCGTGCGCAAAAGCGGCGAGAGATATCTGCGTTCTCCAGGCGGAGGCTGCCGCAGGGGGCTTTAGTTTGTTCAACTCCTCGGGGGCGTTTATGAATCTTATGATGGGGGAAACAACCGAAGACCTCGTCAGGGAATTGGAAGATCTGAGATCAGAGAACGAGTATTTGAAAGTAAGTTTGATCTAATTTGTTTAATTAAATTAGCTTAATGCAATTAGCGAATTCAATTTGGTTTTCACGAAATGCAGCATCTACCTTTCTGTATAAACCCCGTGCATGTAGGTTTTGCTTGTTTATGAGAGCCTGTGAGTTTCTGTGGGAGGACCCTCAGCTAAACACCAGAGCCGATTTTCTGCAAATGTTTAGATCGGGCCAGTCTTCTTTAGTGAGCGCAGAGCAAGTGGCTCTAATACAAGAGTCAAAAGTCACTACTGACCTAAATAAATTATGGAACAAACCCACACTTACTCAGATTTTTACAGTAGCTGAGTAACTGCTGACTGAGCTGGTGATTAGATGAGTAACTCCTGACTGCAAGGGCATTTTATTGGTCCAACTGAGGAAATTACTCTGTAACTTGATGCAGCAGATCACCAGTTTGCAGGAATATATCTGGAAACTGGGGTTTGATTATAAATTGGTGGTTGCAGAGTTTTGTTAGTGGAGTACTGCTGAGCAAGTCCATCTACAAGCCCAATGGCAATGTCTGTTTTCCACTTTCACCTTTAAAGGGATGATCCACTTATTCAGAGCTGTACCTTGATAAAGAAAGGTCATAATCGAAGCTGCTGATGTCCAGATATTCAGACTTTCTGAGTGTGAGTCAAGCTTTCTGAGAAAACGTTTCATGACTTAGAATATGCTGGAAACAACATGTACAAAAAATAGCCCCAAATCCCTCTTTCTGCCCTAGATGCTCACTTCTGTGACATAACTTCACCTTGTAAGTGCAGATTCAAACTGTGGTCATTAAAGTAATCAGACACTTTGAAGGGTACGTACAAAGCACAAAATGGCCATTTAGGCATCAAACTGGAAAATATAACAATTAGAGCTTAAGTCATAAATCAGTTAGTTAGGCTAATATTAGCCAATATGTTTTTTAATGAATATGTGTACAAAAATATTTTTTAAGTAATTTATACATGGCATTAACCCGTAGTTTGTCCAGTAGATAGGATCTTATTGTTTATAACACTCGAAGCATTGCTTGCAGCACATGTAGCAGAGTAGCATCCCAGGTGAGTAAAGAGTGAATCCATGTTTCACTTAGTTGTTTTCAGTCTCTAATGCCACCATAACACCTGGATTTAAGTTAACGGGAAAAATGGGAAAAATAGAACTTTCTGATATTCACAGTGTTGTGCAAAAGTCTGGAGCCTCATTTATTTATATTTTGCCTCTAAGTAGCCAGACATTCATGTAACGTTTTTCTTTGGACATTGGCTGCTTTTCTCTCTCAATTGTAGTCCAGTTCTTGTACCTGAGCATTTTCAGAGGATTTTTTTTAAAAT